GAAAATACGATATACAAATGTACTGTTCTTACATGTGTAATTCAGATATGGTACAAAATATATATGGACAAAGTTTTGGGAAAAAAACATACAACATTTCAAAACATTTCCAACCTGACTTTGGTCCAATTCGGTAGAATGGCCCATTTATTGATTTTATTCCTTACAGTTATACAGAGAAACTCCTGAGTCATCACTCCTGATGACTCAGTTTACAATACATGTCTGTCTTTGTAAGTACCCTACTATCATGATTTAAAGAATGTCCTTTTTATTTAATATAATCCTGACAGTAGGCCTACCTTGTAGTAATTTATGGCCCTGATCAAGCAGAAACTGATTCTTTAAGTTGGTGGTCTTCGGTTAGGATCTGTTGAAATATAAACTACAAGATATAGTTTCTACTAGAACATGTTTAAATGCTTTAATGTTCAAAAAACACTTTTTTCCTCATACTGACTGTCCTGTCATCTGATGTCATTGAAATATGCTGCAACAAAAAAAGAAACCGTAAAAAATGTATTCAGAATTTTTAGTTTTAAATTCTTAAAAAATGGTGATTTCATAACTTTTCAGTGCTGATGGCTTTTAAAAGGCATAGTTTCTGAACACAGATTGTTTGCATTTCATTTAAATATTTTCGCAGAATTGAAATAGCACTTGTTTTTTATTTTTAAAAATAGATAAAAAGAAAAAAAGAACAAACATAGTGGAAAGCTTGAATTAAAAATGAACAATTATGACACGCAGGACAATTTACTTACTTTCACTGAAGACAGCAACAAAACATGTATCACTGTTCTATCCAACATACCTGTTTGGTGGCTTTGGCAGCCTGCACCTCGTAGATATCCAGGTTTTTCTGCATGTTCCTCAGGGCATCAGAGCGGGAAACAGGGATACGAGGGTCACCAGTCTGGATGACGGTGTGCTCATAAACAGCAGCAACGTACGAGGAGTCCACGTTGGGCTCCATTTGAACGACTACTGTTAAAAAAGAAAAACTGATGACAATGATTAAAAGCATTGTTCCAATCTTCAAATGTTCCTGACATGAACAAAGGGTGTACACCAGACCGACAGGTTATTATTTCGATAGAGAGGGTTCAATGTCTAATATAAGGCTGAGGTAAACAGAGATAAAGAACATTTATATTTGCACATTTGTATTTGTCAGAGACGAATGAACCAATCCTACAGGAACATAGAGTTGTGTTTACCGTATAAATCTGGGAACACATTCACTCTTGTACTTTGTGCTGCTCTATGTTTTTTTTCCAATACCTTTACATAATGTACAACCAATCAGATGATTAGAAGTTTAATCTCCTGAAGTCAATATATCAATTTATCCAGGGGTTAAATTGGGATTTGATATGTAGGGGGGGGGGATCTCATGATTTGATAAAGCATTATCTGCACCATTATCTGTATCAAATGCTGCAGCTCCTGATCGGAGCCGATCAGAGCAGACACACGTTCACTAAGCCGAAAAACTATATCCGGTCACAGAGATCTGCTATTTTAACATATCGAACCTAATATATTAAGAACGAAAAAAGGTTTAACATATAGTTTTTTGTATATGACAAATTTGCGAGAATTATGACGTCAGAGCATCGTCCTATGTGCCGGGGCTTAGCCCCGGACAGCCATGGCCCAATTTAACCCCTGAATGTATCATTGGGCAAGATACTGAACCATTAATGCTTGCTTAGAATCCCTGGAGGACTGCCAGTGGCAGGAAACAAAGTGAATAGCTCGCATCAAGCTTTATGCAGGTTAAATTATCATATTAACACATTTTAAAGAGTTTAAAGCTCTTGTTGAAATAAAATAGTCCCAATCTTCTCCAAAATCTGGAGCAACTACAGTACCTAAAGGAGTGAGTGGGGGACAAGAAACATGCACAATTGCTTTAAGCAGCATTTTTTAAGCTTTTAAAAACTGTCTTCTAGCTAGAAGGAAGGTTTGCCTTTATGAATTCTGATATACTAAAATCCTCATGTGATCTACTACTTTGCTTTGCTGGCCATTGTGGGAAAGAGAGCTTTTATAAGCCAGAGGTTGGAAGGTCTTTCCAAATAATAGGCTTTCCAGCTGATGCTGCCACAGGACACAAATCATAACCGAGTGCAAGCAGATGTTTTATCACAAACGCCAACAAACAAACAAGTGGTAAGAAAGTCAGGCGATCCAACCTGCTGCTACCTTGATAACCTCTATTGCTAAGAGTAGCCAATCCAAACAAGAATTCAAGGTGGCCTCCGAAATTTAAAGCCATGTGATACATATTTATTTGTTTAGGAAGGGATGAAACGGAATTTCTGGACTGACTGTACATATTTTTATTTTGAATGTTACATCCCACCACATCAGAAATTGATGTCCGAAACTGATGCAGTAATGTGTGTCAAAAGATCAAATGTGCACAAGCTAAACAAGTGTTTGTTAGACATTTTTTTTTATGATTCAGTATTAAAATGTGTTTGATATGTTTCCCCTCTACATCGGTTCCAAAACAGTTCATTCATTGTCCAGGTGATACATCCGTCCGTACAGACAGGCAGTGACCAGCCCACCGGTCATGTTTGAGTGTTTCATGGTCACTGTGCCATCTGGAGCTGTTTCAAAATGTTTTGGCTGCTCCAGGACAAACATGCTGGCCAAAATTGATGGGTACACATATCTAGACCCAAACCTCCCCTCCAACTGGAAGTCCATTTTAGACTCAGCTTCTTCTACTTCCTGTCCACAGGAACTGGTGTCCAACCCTGCACAGCGGATGAGAGCACACACCTGCAACAGAAATAAATTAAGATATTAAAATATCTCAAAGGATTCTCATTCATACCTAGAGTTTGTAAAATTCCAGAAATATGTAAGATTTACATTATATCATATAGAAGCAATTTGCTCAGGCTTAATTTATTATGTGTTATGCAGATAGGAACAAAGCTATACTTTTGCATAAAAACAAGAATCCACCAATGTGGCAAATAGATACAGTTTAAATTGTGCCATTTGGGTAGCTAGCTAAATAATTGATGGTGCTTCAAAAATGTAGGCTTTGAGCACATTTAGTGTTTAAAGTAAGCAACTTGTTTTTAGAAGAGGTTTTTGACCAGAGACTAAATGATTTGTTAAAAAGCCTCAATTAGAAAAATGGTCTTTTAACCAAAACATTCCAGAATACCGCTTATATGTCTATTCCCTCGGCACATAAGTTCAATATAAAAGTATACTTTTTTTCTATCTAAAAAACATGCAAAAAGTCCCAAATGATCTTGGACATTTTCAGACTGTTTACAACCCCTTTGGTACCTGCACAGCGTAGCGTCCATTCACAGTGTGAGTTCCACCAAATGCTCCCAATGCGTAGAGCTCTTTACTGTCGCCTTGTGGAATCAGCCGGTACTGCAGGTGGCAGCAAAAGGTGCCATTACACACATGTACTTTGCCCTCTGTCTCCTCCAAGAGGACAAAAGTAAATGGGTCGTACATCATGGATGAGATGAAGGTGGACGTGGAAGAGGCAGAGGAGGAAGGAGGAACTGAAGAAGAGGTTTCAGGAGCAGGAAAATCCAAACAGCTCTCTTTGTGAAAGAACCCAGAGTCTTTAGTTGTAGACCCGTCTGTCACGCTCTGCCCCGCCCACAGAGGGTCTAAGACTGGCACTCTGGCCACCAGCAGCCTGCCCTCATCTGGGTCTCCTTTCTGAGCGTGATGGGATTTGACAGAAAAAGGAGTATAGATGCCACTTCCTGTCATGATCATTTGATCGTTACAAATGTTTGCCGCCAGCAGGGTGACATTGGCACCTAAACTCAACGCATGCTGGAACTGGATTGTGTCCAATAGAGGAAGCTGGTTCATCCAGGCTGTGAGGACGATCAGCTGACGCACACCCTAAAATGAGAGGCCAATGTTAGAAAAAGAGAAGACCAAACAGAGGACTATGGAGTTGGCTGAGTGTCTACCTTCGTCACTAGGTGAATTGTAGGCTCGTAGAACAGGATGTCAAAACAGATGATGAGACCAAACCTCCCAGCAAAAGGTGTATCAAACGTTATGATCTCAGGTTGCGGGGGCGTGTCAAAAGCCGCCTCAAAGTAAAGGTTGTTCTTATGGTAGCGCCCCACCAGTAGGCCATCTGACCTGTATGAAAGAAGATTCTGGGAAACATTCACAAGGAAATAATCCATTGGTGCACTTGCTGGACTTCAGATGAACTGCTTTTATTTTAAGTTCTGCACTGCACCTGAAAACCACGTTGGTGTTAAACTGCCAGCGTCCATCAGAGGGACAAGAGGAGGAGGGGTCGGTCTTCAGGGGGCAGGGCTGCAGGTCGGCCATGTTGGCCACCAGGTAGAGGTTGTAACGACGGGCCATACAGCTCAACCTCTGCAGAACCTGTGAAACAACTCAAATGTGAATTGTGTTGCATTACTGGAGGCTCTGAGGCTGAGCAAACAAGTGGTCTCTCCATTTCAGGGTGTGTGATTGTGCACCTCAGTGTTGTTGTATTTCCCCGGCTCTGTGCAGGGGTTCCAGCTCTCCTGCTGGGGGTCAGGAATGGTTTCCAGGTAGTTAAAGATGGACGACCGGCTGAAGTTGAAACCCTGAATACCATCTTCTGGAAACACCAGGATTTGGACTCCCTGACCAACGAAGGATGAAGGCAAAGTACACATATAATGCAACACATTACTCTATGGTAGTCATAACATGTGTGATAGTAAACTTGCTCCTTTTTATGTGAGTATAAATGATGACTACTTACAATTTTAGTTATGCCACTTATCGAACAGAAACGGATTTTACAGAGTGCACACTGCTTATGATGCAACTAGGTTAACTGTTAAATATTCTTCAATTTATAGCAACAACAACAATTCCGGTGACATATGAGTCTTTACTAAGTGTCCAAGGACCAATACACTCCAAAGTTAATAATTAACCATAGTGCAAATGTGTGTTGTTTGTTTGGCTGTCAGGAAAAATTGTGACATGCAGGACAAAGTCTCTGCATTTCACAATTGTGTCACTTTGAGTAACCCTTTTTGGACGCCAATAAAATACCATGTTGAAAGGTTTTCTGCTTTACTCCTAAACATGCAGTATTGAAAGAAATGGATACTGGATGAGGGCTTCAAACCCGTCCAATATTTTCCAGAATAATAGATTAATTATTTGCTCAGGAGAGAAGCAGGACATCTTCATATTTAAGAGCTTGAATACTTAAAACGATTACAATTGATTAAGATCTTGCATAGTATTCCTGTCAACGGACTAATCGACTAGTCCTTACAGCTCTTTAGTTGATAAACAGAAGCTGTATCTATGAAGTGGACGAATCTGATTTTGGCTGAAAAAACATGTCTCTCGCTTCTAACTCGACAGTAGCCTACCTGCTGAGCGGCTCTGGCAGCCTGCTGCTCGTAAATATCCAGGTTTCGTTGCATGTGCTGCAGGGCTGCAGGGCGGGACAGGGGGACACGGGGGTCCGGGTTCAGGATGACATTGTGCTCATACACAGCAGCAATGTACGAGGAGTCCACAACTGGCTCTGTTTGACCAAGAGCCTTAGATACAGATAAACTGCTAAAAACAATAACCGACCAAAACATGGTTCCTTCCCTGAGAGACATGAAGAGCATCCTACAAGTGTTTCATGTTCTGCTTTAGAGGTGATAAGCTCCCCTTGCGAAATAGTAGTTCTTCAATACATGTGCGTTCATGTGGTCGTAATTTATGCAGCAGCTTTTGCTTTCATTTCATTTTGGAATATATAGCTACGTGTCCAGCCCGTAGGTCCTGCCCTGAAAGCATACATTGTTCTTTACAGAATGAGCGACAACATGGCTGTGATATTATACATCCATGGTGATACATAAACAAACCTTTATTTTGAAAATACATGACCAGAAGTAGTATCCTTTAAACCCGGAACCGCTTTGCAGGGCCGACCTTACTTCAACCAACATGAACAGAACCTGAGACACTTGGGTTGTAATTTTGCACATTGCAGACAACATTGTTTAAACACATGCGAAGACATTTTCAGGAACGGAATCGTGTGTTATTTGTCCTCGTTTGTCTGACGTCTCCCTACGTGTTTGTTTACAAAGGGGCGTATTAGCATTAGCTTTAGCACACACCCTGTAGTACAATGTCAACAGCACCGGAGGCACCAGCAGGAGGAGTAACATCAGCTGGAGGAGCCGGCGAGAGGCTCCAGAGCTGCTGGAGCTGTCGGCTCATCTCCGGCGGAGGGCTGCTCCTGTCGGCCGTTTATGTGTTCGGTACGACCCAGAGGTTGCCAATACGTGGAGTTTCCTCTATTGGGATGGTGACGCAGATGGCATTCGCTGTATGTAAGTTATCCAACACTCTTGACTGTTGTTAGTGTAACATTACTTAGATTGATAGATAGATTATTCATCAAAGTAGGAACAAATGTTTTGGTCACAGCCACAGTCTATGGTCACAGCAGCATTTTTTGACAGTAATTGTAAAAACATGATAAAATACAAATAAGAAATACATAAAAAGCCATTTATACACATTCACAGTAGAAAGTACATACATTCAGAAGAGAATCTAAGAATATACATCATATCAAATAATAAGAATGATCTCCAATATACCTTAGTGGAAAGAAACATATAAACAGTGTACTATATTTAAATATTTTTAAATGTGTTATGCCTGAAAACACTGCTGCTGTGGAAAGAAATTCCCAATTTGGGATGAATGAAGTATCTTTTATATCTTGGATTATATATATCCATCTAAAAATGATTGTGCACATTAGCTTTTAATTTAAAGTAATATATCCTGATAGGTAGTGTAAGTAGGCTACAATATGTGCAAATTGTTCATGATTATAGGGAAGGAGAAACCATACAAACTATGAAGCTTGGAGCTCTCTGCCAGCCAGATGTGATGTCTAGAGTTATTAATGGCAGGATGTTGAGAGGGTGGTTTTACTTGTTTTCATCTTTAGAAGTTATACATTCACATCTGTTTTTCTTTCAGGTCTGGCTTCATTCGGACTTGCTATCATCGCTAATCCGGTACAAAAGAAGACCTGAAGTCTGCTTAGAAACAGGATGGATAACTGGCTCAAACATGGACTTCACGTTTGATGGCAAATATTCATGGACAATATGAAAAAAGCGGCTCTTTGGTCTGTAGTAAAGATGTGTATAGGGATGTTGTGTATTATTACAGAAACAAGCTTTTCACTGTGTGGATAGATCAAGAATCAATATTGGAAGCTTTTCATTGAATAAAAGATGGAATATATTGTATTTAAATTAAAAAAGAAAATGTGATATTTCAGTAATCATTGGAATGTTATGCATTAAACGACATTTTAAAGTTTTTCATTTTTATGCAGAAGCACTTGAGTATAAAAGTAAACTTAAGGTGTCATTAGGACTGTGTATTTTTGCCATTTATTACACATCCTTTTACACTTTGTTTTCATTCTTTAAAGCTGCTAGCTCATCTGGTAGACTTTTTCTCTAAATGTTCCTGTGTATATCCAGCTATACTATATAATAAGGTGGAACAAGCCCCAAATATTAAATGTTGAAGCTCAGATAGTTTTTTACTAATACTGTAGACAGCAGGGGAAAGTAGAAAGCCATCTGTCTAATATGAGACTTTTATAAGCTGATATTTAACCCTTAGACACATCTGAAGTGTTTTCATTGACTGAGCTCCATCACAGAACCTGCAAATCTTAACAAACCGCAGATGTAGCAAACATACTCAAGACAGCACACACATCGTGGGTCAGTTAGTCTGAGTTACCTTTTATTAGTGTTATACTGATCGGAGCACAATTGCTCACAAGGAAGAGTTTGATAAGCATGATGCAAAAAAACACCCTAAAGTCATTTTCAGTCGCGTAAAATGATCATGACATTCTGATTGATTTTTTTTTTTTAGGTTAAAGAAAAATATGAAAATAGAGTTGACAGTACATTTAGGCACACTATTAACACATACTGTACACATATATGCACAATTTCATTATCATAGATTCATAAATACTGGGGTTAAAAAAAAAAGACAAGCCTTCCGATATGAAGAGATGTGCAGAAAGTTAAAAGTGACACCTCCTCCACCGTGGGAACAAAAGATTCACCTCCTAGTTATAGGCTCTAGTTCATGTCCTTTTACTCAGCCAATCAGAGTCCACCAGGGCTGCTCAGTGCAAGCAAATCAAAGCAGACGACGGGGGTCCATCCAATGGCTGCAGCAGGATGGGGCTCCGTCTGGCCAATGGGAGGACTGGCCCTCCCAAAGTTTGCTACGGTAAGTGCTCATTCGCAGTGATTTGATTGGTCACAGGCTCTCCTGTGAGCCAATAGACAAGAGGGGAGGGGGGTCTGTTCACACTCAACAGAACAGGCTTAACGCATAAAACACCACTTATGAGTTAAAAAGAAGCAGTTTGTAGTTTGAGGCCCAATGAGCTAAACATCGGGATGAGACAAGGAAAACCCCCTACCACTGTCCAATCCATACCCACAACACAGATGCTGCACGAGTGGACGAGGGATAAGTGTAAAATACCCCCCCACACACACCACAAAAAAAAATCAGACTTATAAAACAAGTCTGTAAAATAAACTTTGTACTTTTACAACAACGGAATGTAGAGTTGTTGGAACAAGAAGACATTTCTGGGGAAACTTCTCGTGTTTTCTACTATTAAAACGATATGATTGACTTTTTCAGTATACAATGATTCAAAATGCACATGCATTAAAGTAACAAATATTGCACAAAATTAAAGACATTTTCTCTGAATAAAAGTGAATAGGGATATATTTCCATATATCTATATTGATTTCCTTTGTAGCGTTCAGTCGAGTGAAGGAGAGCTACCTCTAGTGTGCGTCTCTTGGTCAGTTTATAGTACGTTTAAGGCTGGTTAACTAGCTCACACTGGCACAGTTTCTGACTGAAGAGGGTTGCATCTTCAAAACACACACATTCACACATAATTCTACATGAGCCAAATACACTACACCAGAGGGTACATTCTTTGTTAATGCGCTTTGACAGCTAGAGCTGAGCCTCCCACAACTGTAACACACTTCATGTGTCCTCACAGCCTCACCTTTGAGGTCGTTAAAGGTCAACTTTGCATTATCTCTCCTCGCATGATTAGGATATGAAGCACAGTAATGTTCAGAGTATTCCAACATCAAACCAGTGCACACACACAGGTGTGGAGCAGCATGAGCTTTGGTCGTCTCAGGTCGTGAAAGTAGCTTTAAAGGGGGGTGGAGCTAGAAACAAAAAACTCATCTTGTCTCGAGAGAGGCATTGAAGCTGGAAAAAAAATGCAGACAATAAAAATCGAAATGGTCTCTTTTGTCACATTTTTTGAAAACGGCGCCTTTTTCAACCCAGTGCTATTGACATATTTGGTTGCTATGAAAAATGGTTTGAAAGTGTGCAGCTTTTGCAGATAAAATGTTTACAGCACGAGGGTAAGTGTGACCACAGCTGAGAGGCCGGGTCACTGAGATGGTGCGGCGTGTCGGGGCCAAGAGACAGAAGCGGGGAGGTAAGGCAAGGTGTGGGTCTATGCTAACTACTCCTGCATTTCAAAAAGAATACAGTAAGGTCCGCTCTCTGGAGTCAGGACCGGGAGAAAGCAGCATCGACTGGCCCGTGATAAAGCTAAACACAACTAAAAAAGTTTTTAAAAAAAAGGAGGAGGAAAATATCTAAACTAAGACAAAAGACTGCCATGTCCAGTCTTGGTGCAAATTACAGTAATTTGTGTGTGTGTGTGTCACAGGGTGAGAGGAGGGCAGAGTGTGTGTTGTTCCTCCTTCAGTTCTGTGACCACAGAAACACTCAGATGGATAATCGGAGTGTTTTCACTGAAAAGAGTGTGTGAGGGAATTAGAAGGGCAGAAATCACACACATACCTTAACGTTCACATCCACCCCCCCCTCACTCTCACTCTCAGCTCTCAAGTCTGTGTGTGTGTAGTCGGCCCGTGTCCCGTCGCCTCCGTCCTCTCCTGTCACCTCTTGAGGGAGGAAGATTTGAGTTTCTGACTATATTTGTGGATGCGTGGCGAGCGGGAGTGCAGCTTGACAAAGAGCTCGGGGAATTTGTACTGGGGGAACATCGTCTCCAAGAAGCCCTCCAGGAAAACGTAGACTAGCCGGCGGTTCATGGGCTGGTACTGAAACATGTCGAAGACGCGGAGGATGCCCTTCCTCGTGGTGTCTGCTCCGATGATGTGTTTCAACTCGTCTGAGGGAGAGGGAGAGAGATAAAGGGGTCAGGAGGGTGAACAAGGAGGCATGGTGGAAGGAAACTTTTACATGGGGGTTGATTTTAGCATCAAGCAAACAGAGGTGAAGCACTTGGGTTGACCAGAGGAGGACTTAGGTCAATGAATTGCCCCTTTAAATGTTGCTTTAGTGCATGAATTACGCATGGAACAATTAATAACAGGGACATGAAAGTCAAGGAACACACATTGACCAAAACAGATGATAGGTATTATACAGACAATAATGCTTCACAACTGTAAAGAATGTAGCTATGACAAGCTTTCAGTACATCCTCTTCCTGTTCTGTAAGGCTCAGATCTAACCCAGTAGATTTATACTTGTTGTCCAGCAGTGTGTTCTCAGTGGTACAAGAGACAGGGCGAGTAGTGAACTTGATGAACAGTCCGTAATGGGGCTACATGATGAATACATTAAGTGTGTGTGTTTCACCTGGCATGATGCCCAGCAGACTGGTCTTGGCAGCTATTCGTGTCCTCTGGCAGATGTTTTTGTCCCGGCGGGGCAGCGTCTCAGCCAAAATACCGTTGGGCCAGTAAGAGTCCCTATTGGTAGAAAGATCAACTGAGGGTTATCGATAATTCTTCTGACAAATCAGATAATTAAAAAAAAGTGGATAAGTTACCTGAACTTCTTGACGTAGTCTGCAACCTGCTCCGGTGAGGTCATGTAGTCCACATGATCCACAATCTTTCTACAGAGACCAAGAAAAAGGATGATTCACGTTGTGTGACACCTTTAACCTCCCTCTATTGTTACAAGACTTGTTTGTCTGAAGATCTGGACATGTGTGTACTTGTGTTCAGTTTAGGTGTGTGCAAACATCCTGTGATCTGTGAACTCAAATCCTATGATGCGGTTTGCTCAGGCGGAACTGGCTCTGCGATAAGCATGCTGACTGTGCATCTTTGGTCATGAGATGTTTGTGTGAAATACGGCACTTTGGTTTAAATGTATAACAAACCATTACTCTAAGAGTGTCATTTTAGTTTATAGACATCATTTGGTTGCAACAAAAGATCAAACATATGTAAATGAAAAAATTCTAACAAGTGTGTAGTTTATGTGCCTATATTTGTATGAAGTTGTTTCAGTCTGCATTGTGTATTGTGTGCCTCTGACCTGTTGATGGTGTCTCCATACGTGGCTCTGATGAGCTGCTGCAGCAGGTTCTTTATGTTCCTGCGCAGCCACTGGTTTTTCTCCTTAAGGTCAAACACCTCGTCCATCAGTAGCAGCATTACTCTCAGCGGTATGTTATCATCCACCTGTATATTTCCACATATGAATGGGAATCAAAAGAAATAAAATCACAAGAAAGTGAAAGAAATAAACCAAACACGAAGAAGACATGGCCATTGTCTTACTCACATTGTCATCGAGCTGAGCAGAGACTCGACAGTGTTCGGGGTCGATGTCAGTCTTAGGGAGGAGTGGAGGCACCTGGGGAAAAACAGATTGTTAGGTAAATAAATATAAAAAAAGGTGACGAAAACACAAATCTGGTTCAAGGACTGGATTTGTGACGACTTGTACCCATACTTGCCAACCCTGAGACCTCAGTAATCAGGAGCATTTCAAAACCACTGCGGCCTTTCAGTTGCACGCGCTACTAAAGAGACGCGCTACCATGGAAACCAAACAATGGTGTAGCTGTATTAAAGTCCGAGTGGAAACAGTCCTGAGTAAATCTGATTTTGTCAGAAATCGGGAGAAATGCAGGAGAAATATGACGCCCGGAGGAAACCGGGAGGGGGCAATGAAATCGGGAGTCTCCCGCGAAAATCGGGAGGGTTGGAAAGTTTATAACGCTTTCAATCCCTTTAAGCAATGCTGCCAACCCTTTTAAACGGAAAAATCAATGATATTTTACTGTTTTCATTAAGTAAGAGAACTTGCTCTACACTTTGTGATGGTGTTACCTTGAGTATGGACTGTTTAATGTCCTGCCCGAGTCTCTCTGACATGCGGCCCATGTTATCAGAGACCTTATTCATGCCCTCCGCCAGACTGTCCGGCAGAGACTTCACTGCGTTGGACACGTTTCTCATGGAGCTCCTCAGAGGATTTACAAATGTGTCCACCTGAAAAGCGAATACAAAAAAAAGGAGAAGATCTAATTTAGAACAAACACTCACATAATGTATGTGTTCAAAAGTAAATAGGATGAGTATGCAGAAAAACATCTGAACTACATACTTTATACATGTGCTGTTATTTGATTGTAAATAAATGACACTAAAAACACATATTCTTTGTTTGATAAAAATGTAGTGACCTTGCGAGCAAACTCTCCCTTGCCCTTGCTGTAGGCTTTGTTCTCGAGGAAGTCATAGACATAAGCAATCAGAGTTGGACAGGCCTTCACCATCTCTGGGTTCATCAGCAACTGGAACACACACACACACACACACACACACACACACACACACACACACACACACACACACACACACACACACAAGTTATTGATGTACACACTTACAAAAATAAAGGTGTTCAATACAGTGTAGCCATATAAGACAGTTACCTGCAGGTAAGAATTGAGGTCTTTTTTTCTCTTCTCCAAGAAGTCTCTGTCCATGTTGTTGAAGGTCTTCTTCCCTGGCAGCTTGAGAATCGACGCCAGGTTCTCAAACTACAACAGAATATATGAAACTCTTAGGAGACAGTCGAGTTCATGAGATTCTGCTCCGTGTTAACTTCCTTTGGGATATGAGAAAGAAAACCCTTGATAGACACACACCTGTTCAGTGACCCTCATGTGGAAGTCGTGGAAGTCGGAGTAGCGGCGATAGGTCTTCCAGCAGTCCTCACTGCCGTCATGGCTGCGTCTGACCACCGTGATGGCGTACAGCGCGTAGGTCTTACCGTGGTCGTTGCACACCCCTGCAGCACCCCAGAAGCCGGGGAGACAAGCGTCAGCTACCCAGCCCGGGCAATACATCCACAATGGCAATGGAAGATGAGGGGGTAGATGGAAGGAAAACAGGAGGAAGACGGGGAGGAAAGGAAAGTGTGTGCAGGTGTAAAGTGTGCAGAGGGAGGAAGAGAGGGCAAAGGAAAGAATGCAAAGCAGACGGTTTGGATAAAATAGAGGAGAAAGTGGCAGAAATAACAGGAAAGGTAAGGGAGGGAGGAAAAAGGAAAAACAGAAAAAAAAAAGTGATACAATGGAAGAAATCAAAACACAACTAGAACAGTATGAATCGGAAAAGCAGACATGATGAAAAGGGCTTGGAAGTGAAAAGTTGAAAGAAAAGAATGTGCGGGGAGGGGCTAACATGGGGGGGCACACAGATATCTGATGTACACAACAATTTAACACATTTCCAATATCCATATCACACATCAAGTGGAAGGTGTGTGTGTGTGTGTGTGTGTGTGTGTGTGTGTGTGTGTGTGTGTGTGTGTGTGTGTGTGTGTGTGTGTACCTGTGTCAGAGATGAAGGCATGTAGGTGCAAAGTATCATCATGGCAGGAGTTGGACAAATCGTCCAAAGACTGAAATCACAAGTAACATGGAATCATTTCACTGCACAGTTTGCTTTCAATAACCCAATGCAATGCTTCTTTAATGTGGGGGACGTGTTTCCACCATAGATCAAACTTATCTAAGATTTGACCTATTGGTTTGTGGACTCCAGTTTGGCGTTTTGGAAGTTGCCATCCAGAAATGACAAAGTACAACCAATCAATGAATAAGACATTTTTAGATGACCAAAATGTTACATTGAACGTTCAGGAACTGAAAACACACTGTAAAAAGTTTTTTAAAAATTGTACAATGAAAATATTGGAAGGCACCCAGACTAGACAACACCGTGATATCGACCTATAAATCACAAGATAGTCACGCTTTGGGATCTATCCTGAAAAATAAACGGACGGTAATAAATCAGATGGGCGTTTTTTTGCAATTAGTGGAGTAAACCCTGCTGGATATTAAAGTGGATGTTAAAAGGCACTATCGCATTGGTTTCAGTTTTCCGACCCAGAGCTAGCTGCTTGATCTCAACATCAGAACGATTCAGAGTCGTAGAACAGGGTATGAAGAAGTCTTACTAGGTTTATGCTTCCTGTGGGAGAGCCATTGAAGGATTCTCCATCCCCGTCATCAGACCCCCGGTAGCTCGGCTCTTTCAACATGTCCAGCTCGGCTAGCATGCGGACGTAGAGAGGACTCTGCTTGAAGGAGGGGTAGTAGCGCTCATCTCGTAGCATCATGTCATACACCTGGAGGTGAAAAACAGGGGCAGAAATATAAGTCATTTTTTTTTGACATGGAAAGCTATGAAATAAGAAATATTCTCTCTGTAGAAAATATTTAGTACACTTTTCTGAATTTCATCAAATATCTCTGGTGTGGGGTCGTCTTTCTGGAGCTTCTCCCCTAGTTTGATCACGGACGCTTCATCCACCTGGACCCGGGGCGACGCCTTTAGGAACAAAAAAGTAAAGACACATTTGAAAAGAGTCTCATTAAAATGACTTCACAGGAAACACTGACATCCTAACACGCCCCCCACCTTGTCCGAGAGGTATTGTTCGTAGACGCCCAGTGCAGCGGCCTTCAGCAGCCCCTTGGTGTTGCTGGGCTGCTTCTTGCCATCTTTCTGCCAGTTCTGCATAGCCTCCAGCTGCTGCTGCGCCGTCACCCTGTAGCCCTCCACAGTGAGCCAGAAGAACAGCTCTGCCTGGGCCCCCGCCGCCTGCATGTAGTCTGGAACACACACGAGAGCTGGTCCAAATGGTGTCTACAGCACTTTGGTTACACATTCATGCATAGTTAGTGGGCAAGGGCCTTTCACAAATAGTATTTGGTGTCTGGTGATCTTGTAACTAAAGATCAATCTACTGTCACACTGAGGCAACGCTTTGGATATAGGTCAGAATATAAAGGTTGTGATACACGCAGATCTTCCTTTTATCTACTTTGGTTACAGCTTTTGAGCTTGTTGATCTTTATTTAAATACAACGTTTTTCATATTTAACATTTCTAATCACAGAAACAGCCGTAACATTTAAGCTCTTACTCAAACTAGATCTGACACAACTTGGCTTGACTCCTAGTTTGCTCACACAAATACACTCACATGCGCACACAAACACACACACGTGCACTCTATCGTGATCTGATCCGTAAAGTGGTGTGACCTTTTCTTTTAAGTCTCTGACAGGTCATGTGGGCTGAAGAAAGGAGCGTGGCAATGACACAGGTTGGGGTTATATATTCTAGAGGACTGGAACACATTATGGATTATAAAGATGATTAACAGAAATGTTCAGGATTAAGGTCTGGGGGTGACTACAGTGACATTTGGCATCAGTGGTTAATGTGATGATGCATTTCCAGACTTACATTACATGTCACTTGTTAGTCGCTTTTATCCAAAGCGACTTACATACATTCAATACTGTGGACAATCCCCACAGGAGCAATTTGGGGTGAAGTGTCTTGCCCAGGGACACAAAATGCTGACTGCAGTGGGACTCGAACTTGCTACCCCCTGATTCGAACTTCAGCGCACTATCCACTGAGCCACAACCTCCCACTTACCCATGAAGAACTGCAGGGCTATGTTGTGGATGAGAATGTGATCCAGAGGAATGACACACAGTTTGCCAAAGTTGGCTGCCAGCTTCAGGGCATCCACCTCCTACACAGAAAATGATAAAGTTAAGTGTGATACAAAAAGAAGCAGAAATGATTAAAGTATATTCTCAGTCTAGCCGACTCCAACAGACTTTGAGCGATTCAGGTGGGACTCGCAGACAATGTTTCACCAGCACACTAACAATAAGTGATGTGTGTTTTTACTGGATTCCTCCAGTGTAAGCACTATATGCTGCAGTTTCTCACCTTGCCAGAGTGTAGTCTCTGGATCCGAGTCTCACACACCTTCTTCACAAACAGAAGACTGTTGATCTGGTTCTTGATCACATTGATGTCTGAAGGACGGAGAAACAAACCGGGAGGAGAAAGAGCATTAGTTAAAGGTGGGGTAGGTAATTTTGGAGAAACCAGCTCGAGTGCGCTAGAATTTGAAAAAACACAACCGAAAAAAATCTGCCACTTCCTTGCAGAGCCCCTCCTCCAACACAGACGAACGCGCACATGACCAATGAGGGCACGAGATAAGTTTGTGCACAGATGGAAGGCTGACAGGCAGGTAGGCCATCCAGTTATTTTAGCCGGGCCGGCTCAAATGACTGGTCGTGCTTTTTACAGTACTACGGCTTCCAGAGATTAAATGTTTGTTATGGATTTTTTGTCAAAGCACTTTAGATATTCATTGCTATCGGGATGTTAAGAGCATTCCATGGAATATAACACAAAGTGTATCTCGAGCCGGTTTCTCAAACTGACCTACCCCACCTTTAATATAAAAAAGTGAAAACAAGGCATGTCTCCTAAAATGAACATCCAATATGTTGCCCAAAATCTAAATTGTATTCCTTTAATTGCATATAATATTATCTGTCAAACTAAACCAATTCAGTGCATTTAAGGGCCAAATCAAATGCTGGATTTTAAAGAAAATATTTTGCTGAAATGAAAAAAAGAAAGAAAGAAATGATTTTGAGCTAGTCCAAAAACATTTGTCAGCCCTAAAGCAACACATTTATTAAGCCATGCTTTATGTTTCTGCTTTGTGTCTTTTTACACACATAGCCAATGACTTTCATGTACTTGTGTGTCTGTACATCAGCAGAAAAACACAGTGCCTACCATCTCCGGCGGTGTCCAGGGAGCGGAGGTACTGCAGCTCCTCCAGCACCTTGTCCTTCACCGCCTCCAGCTCAGAGGGCTTGTCTGTCAGCTTCAGGATGTTCATGAAGGCTTCGTAATTACAGCTGGAGTCCCGTATCTGTTCAAAATCACATCCATTCACATAACCATTAAAGAAGTCTGTTTTCAATTTGCTTTCTGGATTTTTTTCTTGGATATCTTTGTGTAGTGTTTACACACAAAGTGAAAGTTCAAATAACAGCTGAGTGCCAACTCTCACCATCCAGATGACAAACTGATTGATGTAGTCTGGGTCGCTAAGCTGGTTGATCAGAGGAAGTAGAACACCACGGGCCAGCACCTCCTAAAAACAAACATCACAGAGCATTTTCAGGTTCACTCTTTTACATTTACACCACAAACGTGTCGTGACAGCATAGTATATTCAGCAGCCTGTTGTTGGAAAATAATACTCATAGCTGGCTGCAGGCCAAAGTGGCAGCATTTGGCCTGCAGCTCGATAATGGTTCGTTAACAATCCAGGTTGTGTGACATATTGTGTGGCTGAATATGTGATTTTGAGCCTCATATTTGCTTCTCGGATCATTGAAGTCATGTGTAATTTGATCCTGTGACAGACTGTGTAAGTGAGAGTGAGAACTAGTGTTTGTCTGTGTGCGCTCACCCTAAGGAAGTATCTCATGTTCTTGTTGTGGAAATCTCCAGGAGGTAGTAACAGATACAGAAGCAACTCACACAAGTCCCTAAGAAAACCTGACACACACACACACACACACACACACACACACACACACACACACACACACACACACACACACACACACACACACACACACACACACACACACACAGTTTAAAAAAAAGTTACAACATCAAACAGTACATATATATGAAGAATTTTTCATGTCAGTGTGAACTTTAAGGGTAGACACGCTACAAAAGTGTGTTAACCTTCTTCATCTTTGTGTGAAGTGCACACCACGTCTCGACAAATCTTCCTTTCCATCTCCACCTCGGCCTCAAAGAAGGAGTCCACCAGCTCCTCCGTTATGTCCCCTGTTCACACATCACTCATTTTCATTATCCAACATGTATTATCCTCATCGGATTTAATCAAAACCTTATGGGAGAATTATTCTGCAGCACGATTATAATCAAATCGTATTGTGTCCAATCTCCACACTCAGACTGTTAATCATTGTTAAAAACAAGCTGAACAAACAGCCTAAATGTACACAAAGAAAGTGTGTGAGTGTGTGTGCTTACTTTGCTTGTCCTCTCTGTCTGCGAGGCGGTCCTGGGCTTTTCTAAAGACACGTAAATGGGTGGCAAAGTCGTCCACCAGGCGAGTAGTGAAGTAAGGCTGCCAGTCCACCTCTTTGGACCTTGGCACATAAATGATACATTTGGTTTATCAAGAGCTTTTACAGGTGCTCAAAGACGCTTTACAAAGATTTTAAAACACAACAACATTTAACACTAGGACACCATATTCATCTCATAAATACACAGGGATAATGTAGAAAAAACTATAAAATATTTGTTTTGTTTAAAACATTGGATATCAGGAAACTGTATCCATTTCTTACCGTGTAGAGAACTGGACGAGGGCATTCTGCAGCGTCTGTCTGATCTCCAATAGGAAGGACTCATCCTCGCTCAGAGTGTAGTACCAGTACTGGATATAATCTCTCAGAGCAAACTGGATCACCTTATAAAAAAGAGAAGCAAATAAATGTATCAAAGACAACCCAATGACCTGGTGCAAGGGGCTGGACAGTAAGCAAAGGGAGTTAGCAGGGTTAATAATACAGGGTTCCTTCAGCCACAGGCAAATTAGACTTATTAAGATGTTTTAACAACATCAAATAAAACTCTATTAGTGTTTTTAGTTCTTTCATCCTAATTGTAAATAGTAGAGGCATTCTGTACATTATGTAAGACTTCTGAAACACTTCTAAGACATCCTAATGAAATGGTGCACAAGGTTTGAGTGTGAGATAGGTAAAGTACAAATATTCATGGTCAGTGCATAACTAAAACCCAGAGGACAGATTACTGGGATATCAGCTCACAGGACACTTGGGTGAATCAACTAGGTAGTTGTACTGTACTGGATAGAGTAGAGCTAGAGCTGAGTAGTTACAATCAAGCAAACACATGAACTGTCAGTTAAGAATGCTACTATATGAGCTGACTGTGTTGATAAAGTAATGACAAAAAGAGACAAAAGATTGTGCCATAAATATCTTTCAGAGAGCATGGCGCGGGTTTAAATGATGTCACGTTCGGCAGTGCTGAAGATCTCAAGGTTCACATGTTGCAGAAATGATTAGTGTGCATTCCCAGGGAGGAAGGGAGAACAGAAGCAGCACAGTAGAGCAGTCAGTGTCATCTGACCATCACAAACTGCTGTGTCTGCACTTAACTCTGCCGGCCACGCTGCTTTACGCAGGACTGCATGCTACAAGCTGCTTTTCTACTGGAAGTGTGGTAACCACAGGACAGGGTGTAAAGAAATACTGTGACCAACGGACAAAAGCCACTGAGCTCATCTTCCCTTTCTGCAGCACTGATGCTCAGCCTTACCTTCATTCAGAGGATTTATTTAGAATGATTTTAGGCTCAAAGATTCAATTTCCAACATACTAGAGGGAAAATCAGTCAGCAGTGTTTTACTTTAGCCACATGAGGAGGGAGGTTGTATGACCCTTGAGAAAATGTGTTCTGCTACAAGAAGACAAAACAAATCAATATAAATACAAATGTAAGTCCTTTTGATGGGGAAGATTTCAGAGGTAAAATGAACAAACATAAAACAATCTATCTTGGAAGAACCCGTAATAAGTGACCAATCTCTCAACTTCATACAAATATAAAAGCGGAACTTACAATAGTAAAATATTAAGTCTAGAAAGAGAACATGTCCTCGAAAAACATGTTATCAACTCAGTACCCTAATATAGTGTTGGCAAATGCTTCTTTTTTTTTTAGCTTGACTAAAGGCAGGTACAACCAGCAGACAGATATCCTACTCAAGACAACTCTAATGACACGAAACACAAGTAACCAACTTCCTGTGCAGGGGAGACACTGAGGCTTCAGGGCTAAGGGTATGCATTGTTTGATAGGCATGAGCTGGACCAGCTGATGGGTCGGATGGTGAATAAAGGGGGCCAGTGTCCAAAAGTCTGGAGTGTTTGTGGTCCTGCTATCTTCTGTTGGCTTTTCTCATTATGTGTTGTCACATTAACATTGGTGTAATTATTTGTATGGCCAATGTGTTTCAACAAAACTGAAAATAATTCTTTAAGGATTTACTGCAGGACTTTCGTAGTGGACTGTTTTAATTTGAGATAGGGGTCATTGTCAAGTGGCGATTAAATGTATATGAATACATGAGTGTTGGTTGAGCTGTTGAAAACTATACAAAGGGCACTTCATATTTAAAAATGACACACAAACACACCTGTTGTAGTGGTTCATCTATAAAACTGGAGCCAGTCAGTCTCCTGTCTATTTTTATAGGCTTCATCTCCAACTTCATCTCATCCAATGTCTGAAGGAAACAAACAAAGAGACACAATCAATAACAAAGCTTCTTTCATGAACTTCATGGTGACTGGCAAACAGACTTCATCAACAAAGGAACTTCATTTACGTATAATCAATATATGTAGGCAAGGCCGAAATGTGTGTGTGCTTCAGCGTGCCCTTACCTTTAGTATGCCAATTTGTGTGGGGGCCAAGTAGGAGTGCTCGCACTTTTCCAGGTGTTTCTCTGAGTTGATCTTTCCATAGAGCAGAGTGACCGCAAAGCCCCTGGAAACAGAAGTGAGAATTAGAGAAAAACGGATCTATGGTGGTTAAAGAGAGAGAGAGCATGCTTATAAGACATGATGGACGGTTTAGTGGTTTCCTGCTTACCCTACAATGAAGCAGAAGATATAAAAGGCCAGGTAGAATATGGCAAAGGGTCCAAAGGTGACGAGGAACAGCACGACTCCAAGACCCCCCCATCCCCAGATGGACAGACTGGCCTGAAAGGCACACAGAAGGAAATACACAAGCTGAATACTCCATGTACTTTATATTATACTTACAATTGCCTTGAGAAAACAGACTCCCTCTGTAAAGCCTGATCAAGCCTTTCACATCTTCAAATGATAACAGACTGAATGATAAATCTTTTAATATGCAGACTAAGACTACACCCTAAATATAGTTTTGTTTTTGTACAATGTGTGTCTGATTTTACCGTGTGCAACTAACAGTACTATATTCAGGGGTGCACATAAGTGGTACGCAGGTACGCATGCGCGGCAACAATCTGAAATGCGTACCGTCACTTGTGTCCCAAAGCGCATTTGCGTACCGATGTATATGTGAAGCTTTTCCTTAAGGCGGTTGGATCATACATCGGTACGCAAATGCGCTTTGGGACACAAGTGACGGTACGCATTTCAGATTGTTGCCGCGCATNCACACACACACACACACACACACACACACACACACACACACACACACACACACACACACGATTTAAATGATTCGATTATCAAATCGGAAAGCCTGAAAATCTTTTTGTTTTTACATTTTTTTTATTACATTTTCATAGTCATCCACACCAATCAGAAGTGCTGTGCTCCACATGTAGCAGTCATTGTTACCCAATCAGAAGTGGCCCATGATAGAAGGTGATGGACAGATTGATCCAATCACCTGCCACGTGTTTTTGAAAGTGCCTGTCCTTTCCAAATGGCTTCCAGTGGAGCTCTAGATGGTCTGGTGAACCGTCTGAGTCAGGTTAGTGATGCTCCATCACATGTTTCTATCACAGGTGAGTCTTAAACTGAAGCTCGGCTTTAAAGCAACCCAACGGAAGTTTCATTTAAGTTTAGTTCTTTCACTCGTAGCGTGGGCTGCGGGGGGGCTAGAGACGGGAGCACGTTGATGTAGGGCTTTTTTTCTTCAACTTTTTGTTGGTTTTCAGTTGAGTTATCCTGAAAGCTCAGGGTAACAACTGTTAAAAACACTCTTCAGAAGGTTTTTCTCCAATAAATTGATGTTTTCAAAGTAAATGGATAATCGTTTTTAATAATCGTGATATCAATTATTGACCGAAATAATTGAGATTATGATTTTTGCCATAATCGAGCAGCCCTACGTTGATGCGACCTTCCTAGCCGGAGTTATGGCCGCATTTTACAATGACACACACACACACACACACACACACACACACACACACACACACACACACACACACACACACACACACACACACAACACACACACACACACACACACACACACACAC